TATAAGAGAGATATATCAATTGGTTGTCTTCTGTACATGCCTGACTGGAATCAAACTTGAAACATAGGCAGAGGTCGATGCCCCAACCAACCAAGCCACACCAGCCAGAACTCTAATGGACAAAATAAACTAGCAAACAAAATTGAAGCAGAGTCATGGATGCAGAGAGGAGGGATTTGGGGTCTGAGTGAGAAGGGTGAAGTGTTCAAGAAAAGAAAGACTCATGTACACAGACATTGGGGTGATCGTCAGAGTGAAGGGGTTGGGGGTGAGGTAGAAGAAGGTAAAGGAGGGATAAATGGTGATGGAAGGAGACTGGACTTGGGGTGTGAAACACAATACAATATACAGATGATGTATTGTAGAATTGTAAACCTAAAATTTGTATAATTTTATTAACCAATTTCACTCTAATAGTTAAAGAAAAATAATAATAAATCCGTTTTTCATGTTTTTGAGTTTGGTGTCTGGAGACTGTTTATTTTATTTCTATGCTACCATCTTACCTTGGTTATTCATGGAAGTTGATCTCTTTTTTTCTTCCTACCCATTTGAGAGAGTAAACTTTTATTATTTTGTTTTGCTCTTACCAATTTAGCAAGTTGGTAAGTAGAGTTTTTTCCTGTAGGTGGTGCTATAGCACAGGCTTCTGTGTTCTCTTACCTGCACTACTGGCACTTCGTGATCTTCATGGGGTAGTGTCACTTCAGTCATTGAAAATACCATGTACCTACTGGGGTGGTGGTGCTTCTGTGTTTGGGTCACCTCAATGTCAGGGCAATACCGCTGTTGTGGGGTGATATGGCGGGTAGTGAGGAACTTGTTTGCAGGCATCAAGTCCCGCCTCCATTTTATTAATGTCCTTGATGTGCTGTTTTAGGCATCTCCACGGCCTCTGCTGGACTCCAGCCTGATGGGTTGGAGAAGGGAGGTGGATTCACAAGTCTGTGGTGCTGCCTCTATTAGTAATGGCCACTGCGCTGCTGTGCTGTTTAACACATCTCAGCTTCTGCTACAGTGTTTTGCTGCACTAAGAGGGGCAAATGGAGCCAGCTTCTCAGGTAGGGATGCTGCTTCTGCCCTTATTATCCTCCAGGTCATAGTGGGAGGGTCCCTGCCCTACTTCTCTGACACTATGATGTGGCTAGGGCCACAGTGGTGTCTGCAGCCAGTGATCCTGTCCTTCCACTATCCTGCTTCTCCTACTCTTTCCAATATACCCACCTTCAGATACACCGACGCATGGGCCTCTCAGGCTCGGTTGTGTGTTGAGCAGAAGAACCTTTGATAAATTACAGTTGTTCAACTTGAAAATTGAAGAGGAGATACAAAGGGGCATTCTCACTCTGCCATAATGCTAATGTTTCAAAGTTTTTTGAGGCTGAAACATTACTAAGTTTTACAGGTTTGGAGGGTCGATTACATGATGGAGCACGTGGCTTCTTCCCTTCCTTAAATTTGCACATCAAAACACATTTAAGGTGCTCAGCACAATAAAGGGCATATTGAGTCAGGATCCTCCTTCATGAGAGGGTGGTTTTAGTTTAAAAATGCACAACTATGGAAAGGTTTTCTATACCCATGAAAAGTCTGTCAACATTGTATTGTTAGAGTCAATAAACTGTGTAAGATAATATGTAGTTTACAATACAATAATCTCAAAAGTACACAGTCATTCAAAACATTTATAAATTCACCAATTTTTTGAAGTATCAGAATATTAACAACAGTTACTTGTGTTAGAATTTTGACTGATTTTCGTTTCTATGTTGTATACCATTCTTTTTCTAATGTATTTTATATTGTAATTTAAGAAAATATTTTTAAATACATTTTTTAAAGCGAATTTCTTCCCAGGTTACCTACACATAAAATTAAGTATCTACATTTTCTTTTATTTTGTCTGTTCTATATGCTTACATCTCTCCCAGTTTGGGGACCCATCTTATTTTTTTTATTTATTTATTTATTTATCCTCACCCAAGAATATTTTTTCATTGATTTTTAGACAGAATGCAAGGGAAGTGGGGGGGGGGACAGAGAGAGAGAAACTTCAGTGTGAGAGAGACACATCGATTGGTTGCCTCCCACATGGCACTGGCCAGGGATTGAACCTACAGCCCAGGTACATGCTCTTGACCAGGATCAAACCTGCGACAAGACTGGTTTGCCAGACTCTAACTGCTGAGCCAGACTAGCCAGGGCTCATTTATTTCTTGCTTATTCCATCTCAGGAGCTTCTACATCTGTTCAAGGAGACAGTCCCAGGACACCCAGGCAGTTCTGAAAGAGATCAGCTTCTTTGGGAGTTGAGTTTTGCCCCAAATGCAGGCACAGGCAAAGCTTTGGCTCAGAAAACCAGTTCAGGGTCCCACGGAAGGGACTAGACATCCACAGGTGAAACACCAATGCCCATCTGGCGCAGGTGGGCCAACCAGGCCTGTGAGGCCCCAAAGGAGAAAATCGGAGGCCTGCTGGTTTCCAGCTCCAAACCTTCAAAAAGGCCTGAGCAATAATGCTGTAGAGGAAGGGGGAAAGGTGACAAAGAGGAGGCAGCACAGGAAGGGATTGTCCAGAAAGATTCATGAGGTCTCTGCCAGAGAAGTAAGGCCCAGCAGAAGGCAGAAGGCCAGCACCCTGACCGCTTGTCTCACGGAGACCCTCCCAAACCTGCAGTCTGGAGTAGACTCTTAGTAGTTCTTTCCAGACTTTGTTCTTCACTAAAGATCCTAAGATGTTTTTTAATTCTCACCTGAGGACGTTTTTCATTGATTTCACAGAGTGGTGGGGGCAGAGAAAGAACCATTGACGTGAGAGAGAAATACCAATCAGTTGCCTCCCATATGTGCCCGACCGGGGACTGAACCCACAACCTAGGTATGTGACCTGACAGGGAATTGAACCCACAACCTTTCGATGCATGGAACGACACTCAAACCCACTGAGCCGCACCAGCCAGGGCTTCACAAAAGACCTTTATGAGTAATAAGCATATATTTTTTTCCAGCTCTGCGAGGAAGTTGAGCCAAGTATTATCCCTGACGAAGATAATGAGTTTCAGAGAAGTTTGCTATTTATATGGCTGATAACTGGAGGAGGTGGACCTCAAGCTCTGCTCGGTTGACTCCAAATCCTGGATCCTTTCCTGTGCCCAATGCTGATTTCATGACCCTGAATAAGCCACAGGTGTTTACATATTCCTAAAAATGGGCGTTGACCCAGTAGTTCAAAAGACTCTTCTCCTCGCTGACGTCTCAAGGGCTGTTTTTGTACTCCAGGCCCCTGGGATTGGGTGCTCCGCAGAGCTTGGGGCCAGGGCTGAGGAAGCAGTCACTGGCTTCCAGCCTGTCACCTGCCACAAGCTCTTTAGAGGCTTTGGGATAAGCAGTGGGATTTCTTTGTTTTACCTGCATCCTCAGGAACTGTTTATACAGTTTGCGGCCTGGTTTCCAACATGCCTCCCACCTCTACCCCCGTCCCATTAGCGTTTAGGGAAGAAAAAAGCATTTGGATTTTCCTCACACGGCATTGCTTCCAATTTGGGGGTTTATATTGATGAGTAGATGTTTTTCGGAAAAAGAATTCACAAAAGCCAATGGAATTATAGAACAATTAAACAGGGTGACCTGGATTTAAAAAACATTTTTAATTCCAAATTGTAGTTGACATTTGATATTATTAGTTTCAAGTATACAGCATAGAGGTTAGACAGTTATAAAACTTATGAAGTGATCTCACTAGTAAGTCTAGCACCCAGCTGGCACCATACATCATTATTACAATACTACTGACTGTATTTTCTATACTGTAAATTTATATCACCATGATTATTTTGCAAATGCCAATTTGTACTTCTTAATTCCTTCACCTTGGTCGCTCAGTGACCCAACCCCCTCCCATTTGGCAGCCATCAGTTTGTTCTCTGTATCTATGAGTTTGTTTCTTTTGTGTTTTAGATTCCACATGCAAGCGAAATCATATGGTATATGGGTGAGTTATATTCCATTATATATATGTTTTGCATGTTCTGTATCCAGTCAACTATCGATGGACACTGTTGTAAATAATACTGCAGTGAATATAAGGATGCATATATCTTTTCAAATTATTGTTATGGATTTCTTTGGATAAATACCCAGAAGTGGAATTGCTGGCTCATAAGGTAGTTCTTTTTTAAATGTTTTGAAGAATCTCCGCTCTGTTTTCCAAAGTGGCTGCACAAATTTGTAATCTGCCAACAATGGGTGAGGGTTCCCCTTTGTCCACATTTTTGCCAGCACTTGTTTGTTTATTTATTGATGATTGACAGGTATGATCAATCATCATACCTGATGATCTAACAGGTATGCAGTGATGTCTTATTGTGGTTTTAACTTGCATTTCTCTGATTATTAGTGATATTGAGCATCTTTTCATATGTCTAATGGCCATCTGTATGCCCTGTTTGGGAAATGTCTATTCAGATCCTCTGCCAATTTTTAAACTGTATTGTTTGGTTTTTGTGTATGTTAAATTGTGACTTCTTTATATATTTTAAATATTAACTCCATATTGGATGTATCGTTGGTGAATATCTTCTCCTGTGTAGTTGGTTGTCTTTTCATTTTGTTTATTTATTATTATTATTTTGCTGTGAAAAAGTCTTTAGTTTGACATAGTCTCTTTTTGTTTTGAATCTTTAATCTATTTTGAGTTTAAATCTTTAATCTATTTTGAGTTTATTCTTCTATATAGTATAAGAAGGTGGTCTGGTTTTATTTTTATTTTTTTGCATGTATCTGTCCAGTTTTTCCAAAATTATTTATTGAAGAGACTGAGTTTATCCCATGGCATATTCTTGCCTCATTTGTTATAGATTAACTGACCATGTAGGCATGGGTTTATTTCTGGGCTCTGTTCTGTTCATTGATCTATGTTTTTGTTTTTGTGTCAGTAGCATGCTGTTTTGATTACTATATCCTTGCAATATTATTTGATATCAGGTAACATTATGCCTCCAACTTTGTTCTTTTTTTCTCAAAATTAGTGTACAGTGTGACCTGGATTAAAATCACAAAATTGTGTAATTCTATAGGTTCTTCATTATTTTTCTGACATTATGCTCTAATTCATGGCCATTAAAATATCAATGTCGTGTCTTCTGAGATGGCAGGTATGAGCTAATAATAGAATGTATAGAAGAGTTCTTTATGACCATGGAATAACCTAATATGAACTAATGCTGTTGTCCTGACCACATTATAGTGTGGAATGAGTAAGTGTGTCTGAGGGAGGAAGTGGCAATGATGAGCAGTAAGGTGAATTGGAGGTGACAGCATACAGAAGAGCCTCAGAGCTAAGTTAGCCCATTTCTGTTCCCCAGTCCCTGCCATCACCACCTTCACACACGGCACCTGCATCCTCATCATGCCCACAGTCAAAGGCTTCAACCTGCTCACATTCAGCCAGTGCCTCTTCTGTCCCATTGCACAGGGCTACCTGAATAAACACAGGTTGGTTTTCTTCTGCCACTGGTGGATATAACATGCCTGCAGGTGTATGCTTGGCTGCTCCACAGCCCAGCTCCCGGCACAACACAGCCACATCCTTCATGTCCCAGCCATCATCACACACAGTGCCCCAGTGACCATCCTGTTCCACCTCCACTCGCCCTTCACAGCGGTGACGACCATTCACCAAGCGGACTTTGAATGGGGCCTCTGAAAACAGAAGAGGTCAGAGAGCATGCACAAATGTACTCTTAATTTGAAAAAAGAAAGAAAGAAATGTACTCTTATGGTAGCTCCCCGGGTTCAGAGAAAGTGTTTGACGGTGGTTATGGTGTGTGGTATGGGGTTAGGGGCTTGCTGGAGTAGGGAACCACAAAGTTCTGGCTCTGTCCTACTTCATTATCATCTCTTAGAATCATCCGCTCCCACTCAAAGACACCTGGAAAAGTCTTTGCTTTCTGATAATAAAGAAATATGGGGACATACAGATTCATGGCTTGATGCTCATGAGCTCGAAAAGATCTTAGAAAAAGAAAAGTATAGAACTAGTTCTTTCCTAGAAATGGAGACTGAGATTGAGTTACTCATTTTCCTTTTGAAAACTGCACCTGGCCCTGTAGATCACTTCATTAATCTCAGGTTCACTGTCTTTGCAGAGGTAGAGGGGATGAACGCATTACACAGACCTGTTCATCTCTCATCTCTACCTGTTTGTTTGTTGTTGGTCTGTTTGTTTTGAGCTGGACTCATTTTTTAAAAGACTCTTTTCTCTAGGATCTCTAGCAGAAAGCTGCCATCAGTGGTCAGCTTTGTCTGTCTGAGAATTAAGCTAATGAAGAAATTCAGAGTAAAGAGGGTAGGCAAAGACAGATCTCTTGGATCCAGTCACACATTAAGCCATGTGCATTTCTGACTCTTCTTACCAATTTTACTTATTTTTGGGCCCAAGCCAGTTTGTATTGAATTTCTGTCATTTGTAAACAAAATGATCTACTTACACAGTCAATTACCAAGTTCATGGCAAAACCCCTACAAAAATGTAAACTTAGAATAATTATAGGTAATAATATGAATATGATTCTCAAAAATAATAGATTGAAGTCCCAGTTTGGCTCAGTGGTTGAGCGTCAACCCATGCACCAAGAGGTCGCCGGTTTGATTCCCGTCAGGACACATGCCCAGGTTGTGGGCCCAATCCCCAGTGGGGGGCATGCAGAAGGCAGCCAATTGATGTTTTCTCTCATTGATGTTTCTGTCTCTCTCTCCCTCTCACTTCCTCTCTCTCTAAAAAATCAATAAAGGGCCCTGGCCAGTTTGGCTCAGCGGTTAGAGCGTCGGCCTGCGGTCCTGAGAGACCCGGGTTCGGTTCCCGCTAAGGGCACGTACCTCGGTTGCAGTTTGTCCCCGGCCCTGGTCGGTCGTGCGGGTGGCAGCCACTCGATGTGTTCCTTTCACATTGATGTTTCTCTCTCTCTGTTCCTCTCTCTCCCTCCCACTCTACCTGAACAAAAAATGGAAAAATGTCCTCGGGTGAGGATAAAAAAAAAAACAACAGTCAATAAAGGAAAAATAAAATTAAAAAACAAATAATAGATTGAAAAGATCAAACATATGTAAGAATCTATAGAGACAGGATAAATCAAGCAACTAGCTTAATTTAATAGAAAAATACTGAACTTAGTATATCTTAAACATAAAATTCATATTCTTTTCAAATTACATATATAGCATTTATAAAAATGCTAACTGTGTGTTGTTAGGTTATAAATAAATTTTTACTTCCCCCACAAACCCCCCCTCCTCTGAGGCTTGTCAGCCTGTACCCCACCTCCATGTCTCTGGGTTAATTTTGTTCAGCAGTTTGTTTAGTTCATTATATTCCACAAATAAGTGCGATCATGTGATATTTGTCTTTCTCTGCATGACCAATGAACATAGACAACAAAGCTGGGGATGGGGCGGGAGGGAAGGGGAGGAGGATATCAATGAAAGAAAAATGAGAAACATCTGTAACAAAAACAAATTAATAAATAAAAAATAAAAAATTAAATTTCAGTAAGTTTCCAACAGAATATGCAGGCCATATTTTTTTATAAAGTTTAACCACAAGTATAATAAAAAAAAAAAATCTATAAGAATTTCATAAAATATGCCCGGCCAATGTGGCTTAGTGGTTGAGCATCGACCCATGTACCAAGAGGTTGCTGGTTAAGTTCCCAGTCATGGCACATGCCCAGGGTGTGGGCCAAATCCCAAGAAGGGGGCATGCAGGAGGCAGCCAGTCAATGTTCTCTCATCGATGTTTCTATCTTTCTCTCCCTTCCTATCTGTGTAAACAGTCAATAAAAACATTAAAAAATAAATAAATAAAATAAATGCATTTACTAGAAAACAAAGATGAAAAATTCATATGTGCTTAAGAAATTAAAGAACAACATAAAATAAATGTAAAGCAAAAAGAAAACTTGATGAAGATAACAGAGAAATAAATGGATCAGAAAACCAAAACCAAATATATTTGAATACTAAAACTAACCGTGGCTGTTTAAAAGGGGCAATAAAATAGACAAGTCTCTGGCAAATCTTATTAGTAAATTCTAAGAGATCACACCAAAAATATTAGAAATGTGAAGAGAGCATAATCACAAATATGAAAGCTATTTAAAAATTAGATAATAATACTATGGTGAACATTATGTGACAAATTTGAAAAATCTAGATAAAATGTCCCAATTTTTGAGTGAAAGCATTCAAATTATTTTTTTAAAGGGCTGAAAATTGAAGAAGACTAAGAAAAAAGGATTTGATAATGAAGGTAAAAAATAGCAGGTTCAGAAAGTTGTTTGGACTAGTTTCAATGACTTTTAAGTAGTAAATAACTCCAATATTGTCTTAAACTGCAACAAAGCACAGCGAACATGAAAATCTTCTTAAATAATTCCTATGATGCTAACCTGTCCTTGAAACCAAAACTAGATGAGTATAGCTCAAGAAAAGAAACATAAATAAGGATGCAAAATGATGAAATAAAATATTACCAGGTTGTATGTCTTACTACTTGTGATGACATGATGACTAAGAATTTACAGCAGGAATTCAATAATTACTCCCTATTAGGAAACCTATTAATATACTTCACAATAATAAAATTTTAAAATCTTATAACTATCATGATATATTAACATAGTAGTAAAGAGCAAAGTTTCATGATCCCTGTAGCCCTAGCCTAAAGCTCCATTTTTGTGTGTGACCCATTAGCTGAGTGATCTCAGACAAGTGACTTAGTCTAAATTATATTTATTAGTAAAATGAGAGTTGTTATGGAGATCAAATGAGACAATCCTAGAAAGTTTTGAATTCCAGAATCTGGTTTGTTCATGGATTTTCTACTTTTTCCTTAAGTATTTACAGAGCTTAATTGTATCTCCTAACCCATTGTGAGCTCTGAGTGTGCAAGGATCTTTCTCTATTTTTCTCAGTGGTATCTCCTTCCTCCCTCAGGGGCATATCCATGCCTCTCACCTCACATTCAATGCTAACTTATTCCAGTAAAGTGCTCTTCAAATAGTGTCTATTTCATACATATCTGATGATGTACAGTAAAAGGGAAACAGGAAGGGGAAGTGGTAGACCAGTGATGCTGTTGTCAAAACCAATGCAAAAGAAAGCCTGGGAGAATAGATGGACTCTAGCTGAATTCTGATTCCTTGAGGGATAGGAATATGCAAGGACACACAAGCCACTGCTTGACATAATTGCAACTGGTCCTCTGGAAGAAGACATTGGACACATCTTACCTGTGACGTTGAGTGCCACCACCTCACTGCGCTGGGCCACCAGACCATTGTCGGCCTCACAGAAGTAGTTCCCAGAACGATTTGTAGTCAGAGAGAGGGTGAAGGACACTCCTCCTCCAGAAGACACTGAGATGTTTCCCAGGGAGACATTTTCATGGTAAAACGAGTATAGAACAGGGGGAGATGCTCTCTTGTCTTCACAATGAAGCTCCACTATGTCCCCAATATAGGTGTGGGCCCCAGGAGCACTGATGTTGAGGACAGGCTGTGACACTGGAACTGATAGAAGTAGGAGGGTCCATCACAGAGAGTCTCTTCTGCTGGTATAAACGTCTAACCCACTCTATCCTCACCCAGGTGTTCTCACATTTTCTCTCCAGCCCCATGGATTCTTTCCCGCTGTCATACCTCCCAATCTATGCAGAGATTGTTCCAGAAGGGCTTTGATGACCTCTGGTGAGCAATTCTGGGAAATATGCCTCTGGTCCTGTCATGTTACCTGCCTTGTTTCTCCCATTTTCATCCTTCTTTAGCTCCTCTGCTAATGTTGCTGCTACAACCACCACCACCATCATTGCAATGACAATCCTACCATGTTCTCCACCTCTTCGTGGCCCTGTTCCTTGTCATCCTTGGAAAATCCTTACTGCAACGCAGGAAAACCTACTCCAGTTGGAGATTGTTGGCTAATTAAGAAAGTGCTACTTACTTCTCACGGTGATGTTGACCGCCTCGCTCTGGATGAGGTCATCGTCACTTTTAGCTGTACAGTAGTATCGCCCAGCATGGCTCTCCCCGATAACAAGGATGTCCAGCTCTGATCTCTGGGAACGCTGACTTTTACTTCCCAGGCTCTCCCCTGTGTCCTCTCTATGCCAGGAGAATGTGATCTCCCCTGTGCCTTCAGCCACAGAGCAGACAAGGACCAGCCTGTTTCCTTCAAAGGCCTGCCCTCCCGGGGGCTGGGTCTCCAGGAGCACTCCAGACACAGGGATCCCTGGGTGAACACAAGACGACAAGTGAGGGCAGAGGCCAGCACCACCTGCTGAGCTTTGTGGCAGATGGAGTTGTTGGAATCCACGTTTAGGCAGAGCAGTGTTTTTAGTGGGGAGGAAGCATGCTGGGGGCCCTTAGGCAAGAGCACCCTGTACCTTAATGTTCTAAAAATCGGGCCTCTCACTTTCTACACACTTATTAGCCCACTCTAGTGTCCACAGCCTAAAGTGATCGTGCTCCCTTCTGATCTCCAGATGCACTTGGGACGAAGGAGGGATGGGAAACACTCAGGCTGTGGAGTCCTCACCCAGCTCTGCCACATGATCTTGATAGGTCTGTTAATCTCTCTGATCCTCGGTTTTCTTAACAATAAAGCATGGATAATCGTACCAACTTCATAGAGTTCTTATAAAGAAAGAACAATATACATGTGTAAAGCAACTACTACACTGCAGATATCCAACAATTGGTAGCTATCATACTACTTTCCACTGACGTTTGAGATAGGAAGTGTAACAAGGTGGATAAAGGGCATATACTGGCACTGGAGTGCCTAGGTTCAAACTCCAGCTGTGCTACTTACGTGCTGGGGCCCCTTGGGCAGGTCATTTAACAGCTCTGTGCTTTCAGTGATCTCGTGTATAAATGGGGATAAAGTAGTACCTACTTACAGAGATTATTCACACTTCAGTACTGCACAGGGTTTCTGGGAGCACTAAATATAAAACTGCTCTAAGCAATGCCTTGTACCTGATCAATTTCCATTCGTTTTCTCCTCTCCAGATACTTCTGAGTCTCAGAGGGGTTCTTCTTGAACTGAGGACAGCAACCCAGCCCCAGCTGCTGAGGACAGCAGCCCAGCCCAGCTCCTTGGGAAAAAATGGCCTTTCTGGCTTCCCAGCTCAGCAAAGGTGAGCTCTGTTTTACTTAGTGACAGCTTTTGTCTTTTACACATTCTGCTGGTTTCATGTCTGTAACAAAGGTTTGAATTCATTTTTTCCAGCCCCTGATACTTACTCTGCACTTCTACATGGGATTGAAGACTCCGCCTTGAGACACTGCGGGTGGCTGTCATTGCCTCACACGAGTAATATCCTGAGTCTTCTTTCCATAATGCCGAGATCCCAAACTCTGATGAGCTCCAGCCTGACTTCAGGGCATGGCCATCCCTGAAGAAGGAGTACCGAAGCTGGGTCCTTGACCTATCTGGAGCGAGTCGGGTATCACAAGATAGGGTCACTGAATTCCCCTCCGTGGGCAGCAAGGGTCTGACTGTCAGACGAGGTGCTGGAAACAGCTCTGAAGGGAAGAATTAAGCAGAAACCCCCCAGTCAGTGAGGTGTAGAGTTCCTGTTGAGAAGTGCCTTGTCTTCTCAGCCCCAGTGAGCAGGACACAGAGCCCCAGACTCAAAGACATGCAGTCACCCCAAATTTTGCCTCCCTGGGTGGTCTCCTCTGCCCTCTACCCTGGTCTTCCCACACAAGCCCTACTTTTTCCAACTCTTTTCCAGTTGAATAGTGAGACCCTCACCTTGAACAGTAAGCCGTACAGATGTTGTTTCTTCTGTCGTATCCACAAATAAGAACCATGTCCTATCTGCCTTACAGTAATAGGAGCCGCTGTCACTGGATCTTGCATTTGAAATGGTGTAGCTTGAGGCACTGTGGTAAGTGGCTATCCGATGTCCATTCTTGTAGTACATCAGTCTTTTTATTTTACTATTGTTTTCTCCAGAGCACGCCACAACCACCCGGTCTCCTTCATAGGCATGGCGTGGCATCTCGATGCTTAGCCAATCTGCAAAAGATGCACCAATACTTGTACCAGTGCCGTCCACCCTGTGCCAGCACTCTAACATCTGTTCATAAGGGGAAAGATAGTACACACACATACACAAGAAGCTGGGCAGCCACAGATTCCTTGGAAAAAAGTGGCCTTTCTGGCCTCCCTGCTCAGCAAAGGTGAGCTCTATTTCACTTGGTGACAGCTTTTGTCTTTTACACATTCTGCTGGTTTTATGTCTGTAACAAAGGTTTGAATTCATTTTTTTTTTTTCAGGTGCCAACAATTTTCTGGACTAAATATGGATTTAAAACAAATTGCATTTACATGTCCTTATATCCATTCAAGATAACCTCATGCCCCTGTAACAGTCGTGATTAACTTCCTCTGCATCTCTTATTCCTTAGAGACTCAGCCCAACAGTACAATTCAAAGACCTTCGCTTTGTCATTCTCCCTAAATGAAACAATCTGGGCCACTGAGACAATAGCCCAGGGATCTACAATTTCAATATTTAGAATTTTCTACTTGTATTTTTTTTTTCCAGAGGCTTCTGGGAATCTGCTTGTTTAGGTTATTGCCTCCCCTTGAAAGGTAGTCATCATCAGAGAGCTAATGAGTAAGTTCGATCTGCCCCAGCAGGGGGAAAAAAAACAACAACAAAAAACCTTTAGAATGGAAAGGAGTTGGTAGACTGTTCTTTGAAAGTTGGTGCAGAGGAAAGAAGAGCTGGCCCGGCACCCCTGGGCATTTTGGGGGAAACTTTTTAGATGGTAACTGAGTTAGACATTCAGGTTCTAATATCAATTTGGAATTGTAATATACTGGGTTAGATTTCAGAGAAAACGTTTGTTCTCATAAGAAGCCTAATCTCAGGCATGAATCCTAGACCATACACCCTTAATGTAAGAAAAGGCAGTGTCAGATACGGAGGAACCAAATGGAGAAAGAAAGAAAGCATGAGAGTGTTTATTTAGGCTGCGTGCCGAATTTATTCCTCTAGCCATGAATTTATGGCAGAGAAAAGAAGCACCCACTCTCAGGGTCTTGTCTCAGAACACAGACCATCTTCTGATGACGTCTAGACCGAGTCTTCAAAGTGAAATCCATAGGAGTTGTGGAGAAAACATTTAGAACTTCTGTATTCTATTAAACACTTCTTAACCTTTACATTTTTTGTTTTTGTATATATTTTTAAATATTGTAATATAGGAATCAATATCATATGTTGGAGGTACAGGCTAAAATTTTTGTTCTCTATAGAGCAAAGTGATCAAATAAGTTTAGAAACAATGGCTCTGTATCTTTTAGCCACTTTGAAAGTCACACTATGAGAGTAGGAGGTTTGGATGAATGGCGGGGCGTAAGTATTGTTAAAGAGACAGAAGACAAGCCTTCATGGAGACCCAAAGTTTTATTTCTCTAGATTGAAACTGGGTAAGGTTTTCAGTGGAGAGTATAGAGATAATATCAATTTGATTAAATAAATATTTAAGAAGTAAGATTTATGTGACCAATTTGGCAATAATGACAGGGCTAGAAATAACAGAAGAAATATAATGACTTCTGATTATACTGAGCCTGGAAAAAAGAATTTGATTGTAATACATCTAAGTAAATGGCTTTAACTTTGACATTTTACCTATTCCCTAGAAGAAGGTACAAATGTACATGTACAAATATTTTGCCATAATTTCGAAAAGTTTACAGGATTATATGAGGCTGATCCTGAGACCCTCTAATGTATTAATAATATACTTGCTTAAAATTACATCAGATATCATGCAATTTATATTGTCAGACATAAAAGTATCAAATATGTCTGGCTGGTGTGGCTCAGCGGTTGAGCATCAACCCATGCACCAGGAGGTCACCGGTTCGATTCCCGGTCAGGACACATGCCCAGGAGGTGGCCAATTGATGTTCTCTCTCATCAATGTTTCTGTCTCTCTCCCTCTCCCTTCCTCTCTCTTTCAAATCAATAAAGAAGAAAATTTTTTTTAAAGTATCAGATATATAAGTATTACCTCTCCGCCCTGTAATAGAATAATTGCTTTCTCAAATAAATGATTAATGAAGAAAATATAACTTCCAGTCTAATATAAAACAAAGTTTTTCTCTTTATTTTATTACATTAGAACTTTTTTATTTTATTTATTTTTTTAATCCTCACTCTAGGACAGTTTTTGCATTTATCTTCAGATAGAGCAGGAGGGAGGGGGGAGAGAGAGAGAGAGAGAGAAACATCAATGTGAGAGAAACACATCAAATGGTTGCCACCCACACAACCCCAACCGGGGTGGGGACAAACTGCAACCGAGGTACATGCCCTTAGCGGGAACCAAACCCAGGACTCTCTGGTCCGTAGGCCGATGCTCTAACCACTGACCCAAACCAGTCAGGGCTATTTTATTATTTTTTTGTTGTTGTTAATCTTCACCCAAGGATATTTTTCCATTGATTTTTTTTTTAGATAGAGTGGAAGGGAAGGTGGGAGAGAGAGAGAGAGAGAAAGAGCGAGAGAGAGACATCGATGTGAGAGAGACACATTGATTGGTTGCCTCCCACACAAACCCAATCAAACCTGTAACCCAAGTACGTGTCCTTGACCTGGAATCAAACCGGCAACTCTGTTGTCTGCAGGCCAATACTCTAACTGTTGAGCCATACTGGCCAAGGCAAGAACTTTAATAATAAGTTTTTTTTAAAAAAGAAAAACAATTTATGCATGGGTCGTTTGCAATTCAAGTATAATGTCAAGGGATATTCTTGTTGAATGTAGAACATCTCCTTATTCCTCTGGTTACCTCTCTGTTATAGGAAATGTGTTTTCTGTCATTACCACCATTGTTTCTGGTGAGGGCTTTTGAGTTTCTGTGGCCAGAACAAGGAGAATGTTTTCCCAAGAGCACATTGCATGGTTTGCTTTCTCTTCACAGTTAACTTATTTTCTGTTCCAGGGCCTCATAGTAAAGAGAAAATAACTTATTGCCTTGAGAGGGTCAATGTAGGCAGGTGGCTAAGCAGAGAAGAGTGTGACATTGGAGCATTTGTACCATGACAAGGACTAGGGTAAAGCCCTGGCCTCTCACTCTCTGCTCTCTGGTTCTGGACATGATCCCTGCAACCTTCAGCTGAGAGGCTGGAACAGGCAGTATGTTCCTTGCCTGGAAGAGTACGTATGATTCCCGGAGACCTCAAAGAACAAAGAAAAGAATAACTCACCTGACCGGATGCCGACAGGAACTGTGAGGGAATAGAATCAGAGAGATTAGCACTCGACCAGAATTTGTACATTTTCAGAAAAAGGTGTAAACTCTATAAGTACTTTCTCATTCTCTTTCCCCTTCTTCTCTTCTATATCTTTTCCCCTCTACCCTGATATTTTATTCCCTTCTATCCCCCCTCCCTCATTCCTTTTACTGCTTTTCCTTTCATTTTCCCGTTTTCTTCCCTCACCCACAAACAACGCTCCCACAGAATGCAGTACTCATTTTTTAAGGCCCTAGCAATTTATAAACATAGTTCATCTCCCTTACCAAATGTCTGTGATTTTGCAGGTAAATTCTCAGAAGTTTCATGATTTATTTATTCTTCTTCCACCTTATCTTTTTAGATTTCTTAACATGGATTATTTTATTTGAGAAATAGTGCCTGCCTGGTGGCAACACAGAAGCCAGGACAGGACAGGGAGGAAATAGAGGTGTCCTCTCATACATCATGGATACTGTTTCTCCCTCCTTCTTTATTCCAGATCTAGTTCCATATTTGTATACATCTCCTAGAGTCATATTTATCGGTGAAAGCCACAGTTAGCAGGACTTGAAACCCTCTCTAAAATTTAAGTCTAGACAAGTAAGAGTTCAGACAAAAAGGTAGTATCTTTGAGTGAAAGTGAGTTGAAGCAGAGTAATATCTAAATGGGCTAAAAATCGAGTTTACCTAACAGAACATTTGTTGGATATCTTTTAAAGAAATTTTCTGATTTCCCCAGAGATCAAAGCATTAATCAATGTTAAACAAAGGAAGAAGGCATCAATATTTGGAAAAAAAGATTCATAGTCTTTTTGGTTTTCCTGGGAACCTTGCTCTGCTCAGTAGCCATTTACATAATACTTGTTGATCCTGAGTTAGAGGCCGAGGCCCATTCCTGCTCATCCTAGCAGAGGGCTTTGTGCTCTACAAGAGGTCCTGAAATGCCCAACTCAAATGGTTCTGCTCTGGTTCCACCCAAGTCTTGCTATAGCATTCTACCCACCGAGGACCAGAAGCAGTAGCCACAGCAACATGAGGTTGGAGGTGAGAAGGTCTCCCAGTGACAGTCAGGTGAAGCTCAGGTCCTAGAGCAGAGTCTATCCCCATAGAATGTGAAGCTGGGTTTGGGCACTGTGATGCATTGACAATTTTCTAACAATAGAAAACAGGAAGTAGGAGAGCTCTGTTTGCCAATCAGCATTCTCCCCACCCCTAGTCTCATGGGTGCTGAGAAAGTAAATGTTCTTAATAGAGTTGTTCAGAAGTGTGTATTGATCAGAAATGCTCCTTGAAATGTAAGGTCCCCTTAGAGACACTTTCTTACTTGTTTTGACTGCAGAAAACATTGATTAAGCTCTGGAACTGCTAAAATTTAAATCACTTTCTGTTCTCTTTCACAGGAAATTCCCCTTATACTTAGGATGCATGTTTTATTATGCAATTCCTAATATTGTAACACCATGCCAACACTGCATGGATGCTGTTTTATGGAAATCCACCAAGACCACATGAGGACACAAACAGAAATTTGTTATAAATGATGGTGGGAGTAGTATAATATTAGATGGCATTGTGTATGGTCCAAGGACTCAGGAGGATGAAATTTATTCCCAACCCAAGTCATTCCTGCCCGTGACATGTTCTAGACAGATACATGCAGAATAAAAGAAGCAATAAAACTAATCTATGGTGTTAACTTGGAGGCATTAGCTCCAAACTACTGTACAATGGCCTGGAGGGCCTTAACACACACATTACAGATAAGATATGTCTCCTAATACTTCAAAGTATAAGAATAAATATGGGAAGAGAGCCCTTATACCAAAGTGGAACTAGAATTCACCCTAGTGGTTAAAGGAAGGAACTTGAATGAAAAGAATTCCTTACAAAGATGTGAACAAGGTTAAAGTAACAAACTGAAAATAATGAGCCACCCATCAGCCACAGTGGAAAACTGTTAGAGACCCTAGTGCTGAAGAAGCAAAGGGAAAAAGGATGAAAAAGCCCATTGAAGGGGGGCATCCAAGATTGCAGCAGAGTAGGTGGAAGTTACACTTACCCCCTCCTATGACCAAATTGGAGTTACACTAAAATATAGATCAACCTAAATAATCAACTGAAAACTAGCTGAACAGAAGTCATATAACCAAGGATATAGAGAAGAAGCCACATCAAGACTGGTAGGAAGGTTGGAGATGTGAAAAGGTCTGGACCCACACCCATGGGTGGTGGCAAAATTCTGGAGGGCCATCTCAGCTGCAAATTTTCCACCTGAGGAGTGTGGGGTCTCAACCCCACACTGGGCTTCCCAGCCCAAAGCACCAGAGCCAGCAAGAGGCACCCACATGACATCTGACTGTGAAAATCAGTGGGATTCTGTCTGCCAAGGAGAGGTGAAACTTTGCTAGAGACACAGGTGCCCTCTTAAAGGGCCAACACACAAAATATCATACACAGACACTCACCTTGGGTTCCAGCAAAAGGAGGGAGGAGAAGACTAGAGTTGCATGAAAAAGACTGGAGTTGTAGCTCTGGGGAGAGAGCTAAAGAGACAGCCACCAGGATTCCTGTTCTAAGTCCTCTCCCACACCACTGAGGCCATGTTTCTTGGGTGGAGCACTCCCCTAATTATGGCATCAGCCTGGGAGAATGCAATACCCCCACACTCTGGACTCCCTGTCACCCTACCCTGCAGAGCTCACACCTGGCTGAGGAGTTAGCTGCCTGACTTGGAGTGTGGAGGTTCAGGAAGATTCAGGGGATGTCAATGACTGAGTTGGGTGGCTCTGAAGTGAGGGCCATTCCCCCAACTTTCCCATGAACCTGACTAGTGCCTTCCAATCCAGGAGACCTGCAAGCCAAAATTCTGGGCTCCTGGAGTCCCCATCTCTTGATTACTGTTCTATAAATGTCAATTAAATTCATTGGAAACAGTATGTCATTTAAGGTCTCCTTTTCCTTGTTGATTTTTTGTCTGGATGATCTATCCAATGATGCCCATGGGGTGTTTAAGTCCCCTATTGTGACTGTATTTCTGTCCATATCACCCTTAGACTTCATCAAGAATTTTTAAATATATTTAAGTGCTCCTATATTAGGTTTATATTAGGGTTATATCCTCTTGTTCTATCATTCCATTTAGTTTTATGTAGTAACCTTCTTTGCTTCTTGTTATGGTCTTTGTTTTGAAGTCTGTTTTGTCAGAAATATGTATTTCTACTCCTGCTTTTTTTTTTTATTTTCAATTGCATGGAATATTTTTTCCAATTGACACTTTCAGCCTGTGTCAGTTTTTAGTTCTGAAATGGGTCTCTTGTAGACAACATATATATGGGTCATGTTTTCTTATCCATTCAGCTACACTGTGTCTTTTGATTGGAGCATTTAATCAATTTACATTTAAGGTTATTATTGATATACTTAATGCCATTTTTTTTTACCCCTATGTTCCTTTCTCTATATATTTCTTCTTCTTAAAACAGACCCTTTAGCATTTCCTGCACTGCTGGTTTGGTGGTACTTAACTCCTTTAGCCTTCTTTCTCTGAGAAGCTATTTATTTTGTCTTTTGTTTTAAATGATAATCTTGCTGGATAAAGCAGTCTTGATTACAGGTTCTTGCTTTTCATTATTTTGAATACTTCATGCCAATCCCTTCTGGCCTGAAGTATTTCTGTTGAGAAATCTGCTGACAGCATTATTGGAGTTCCCTTGTAGGTAACTAAATGTCTCTCCTTTGCTGCCTTTAAGATTATCTCTTTGTCTTTAGCCTTGGCCATTTTAATTATGATGTGTCTTGGTGTTGGTCTCTCTGTGTTTCTTGAACTTGTGTAACTTTTCTTTCACCAGGTTAGGAAAGTTTTCTGTGATTATTTCTTCAAACAGGTTTTCTATCCCTTGCTCACTTTCTTCTTCTGGTACCCCTATGATGCAAATGTTTTTACATTTTATTTTGTCCCAGAGTTTCCATAAACTATCCTTGTTCTTTATAAGTCTTTTTGTTGCTCTGTTTGGGTCTTTTTATCGGCTTTGCCTTCCAAATCACTAATTTTATTCTCCAATCCATCCAGCCTACTTTTAATTTCTTCCAGTGTATTCTTTTTTTAATTAACTTATTTATTTTTGTTACAGATATTTCTCCTTTTTCCCCCATTGATTCCTCCCTCCCCCTCCATTCCAGTGTATTCTTGATGTCAGATATGCTATTCTTCATTTTTGACTGGCTCTTATTCAGAATTTCTATTGCTTTTTTCATGTTGTTGTAATTCTTATTAAGTTCCTTGTAGTTCTCACTAAGTTGTCCGAGAATCCTTGTAACCATTATTTTGAACTCTGTCTGAGAAATTGCTTGCTTCCATTTTGTTTAATTCTTTTTCTGGAGATTTTTACTTTTCATTTTGGGGTTGTCTCTTTGTTGCCCCATTTTAGCTGTCTCTTTTTGTTTGTTTCTATGCGTTAGAAAGAACTGCTACGACTCCCAGTCTTCATGGGGTTGCCTTATGTAGTAAGTGTCCTATGGAACACAGTGGTGATGTCTTCTTGATCTCTGGGAGCTGAATGATCTAGGAATGTCCCTTGTGTAGGTTATGTGAACCCTCTTGTTGTAACTGGGAGATGATTGTTGTTGGCCTGTTCATGGGTGGGATCAACTTTAACTCTGCAAAAATGAGTTTAGCAGGATGGGGCCAGCAGGATTTGGGAATACAAATAAATTGGCCCTTTGATTTGGGTGACACGGGCCCTCAGCCCTTGAAAGAGGAGCCAGCTGCTTACCTTCTAGCTCAGCCATGCCCTCCAGAGAACCCAAGGGGCTCCAAAGGGCTCCCACCAGATGTCCCCTTTATTCTGTGAGGATGCACCAGCAGGGATGTGTTGGTGGGGCTTGGAGGAAGAAAAAAAAGGCTGCCCTTTCTGCTTGGGGTGGTGCTGGCCTTTGAGAGGGAATAGCGAGCTGTTTCCCTCCTTCTGTCTCTGCAGTGTATGGCTAGAGGCCCTGGTGGAGTGCTCCAAGGATGTCACATCCAATGTCCAAGCTCTGATTTGCACCTCCTTCCCCCAGCAGATATGAGTTTAGCAGGGTGGGGCCAGCAGGATATGGAAATGCAAGTATAGTCCACCCTTGATTTGGGGTGGTGTGGATCCTCAGGCCTTCGAAGAGGAGGTAGCTTCTCTCCTTATAGCTCCACACCAGAGCTCCTGAAGGGAGGCTTCAAGTGGTCATACCAGATTTCATAGTACTGAGTTGTGACCCCTACCCCCTGCAAGTTTGCACCTGCCAGAAGGTGAAAGTGGGGCTTGGAGAAATAGATCAAGGCTGCCCCCTCCATTTGCATGGTGATGGCTCTTCAGAGAAGAGAGAGCTTGTTGCCCCTTCTGTCTCTGCAGCTCATTGCTAGAGGTGCTGATGCAGGCCTCTGAGTGGGTTGCTCCAAATATCCCAGTTCTGCTTTATACTTCCTTCCCACTGCGGGAGTACCCTTTGCAAGCACTGCCAGCAGATTTGGGAAATGCTAATCCAGGCAGCCCTTTGATGGGTGTTTTGCAAGCCCTGGGCCCTTTAGAAGGAAGCTAGGCATTACCTTCTAGCTCAGCAGTGCCCTGACAGAGCTCCTGAAGGGCAGCTCCAAGGGGGTCGCACCAAATTTCACAGTTCTGAGTTGTGACCCCTTTATCCTGAGAGGCTCCACCTGCTGGATGGTGCAGATTGGGTTTGGAGGATAGATCAAGGCTGCCCCATCTGCTTAAAGTGGTGCTGGCTCTTGGGAGGGGAGAGAGCTTGTTGCCCCCTTCTATCTCTGCAACTCACTGTCAGAGACCCTGATGAAGGTCTCCAAAGGAGGTGGCTCCAAATGTTCCTGCTCTGAATTGCACTTCTTTTCCCCTTTGGGACTGTGTTTTAAAGGCATTGCCCGCAAATTTGGGGAATGCAAATCTAGGCAGCCCTTTATTGGGGGTGGCAGTGGGTCTTCAGCCAGGTAGTTAGCCTCTTGCTTTCTAGCTTGGCAGTACCCCACCAGGGATTCTGAAGGGAGGTATGCAAGTGCATGCCTCCCCTAGCTCCACAGCTGGCTGCTGGCTGAGGCCCTGACCAGGGTGC